CATGTACTCCACAGAACTCAAGATTTCTTTTTTCTGAGATATGAATTATCCAAGTAACCTACATAAGAATTTCACTCTGCGGACTTGCTGCTTTTTCTGTCATTGTTCTTCAAATCCTAGAGTTATACAATCAATAGAGCTTACAGTAAAAAGCAACCAAATTTTAAAGTTGAAATGAAAAACTGTGCATTGATTTTACATACCGTAACTGAAAAATCAAACTGAATTATTTCAACAAAAATTTAGAATGTAGTTGGAACTAAACTTAGTAGAATTTAATTAGAACTGAATTTAGCTCATTTTATGAACTATACTTATACAAAGGTTTTCATAGATTTAAATAAAGCATCCTTCCCTCTAACAAGGGTTTTAGTTGTGTTGTAAGTCAGCTGTGTGGCACAACCAGCCTGATATTGCACACTGCATGACCTGGATAGCACTGTGATAGAGCACAGGTATGCTGTCCAATCCAGAAAGCAACCTCTATGTTGCTGTGCAGTACAAAGACTGTGGATACTTTTTAGCAGAAGACTTCTCAGCACTGCCTACAAGTCTCCTGGGAAAAATGACACTGACAAAGGTAAGTGCCGAGAGAGGAGCTTCTTGAAGGAATCAAAATTCTTACCCACATACAAGACTGCCAGGCTGAATGCAACTTCCTCCAGCGTAGATCAGAGCAGGTATGTCCATATACAGTGCACAGCCTCCTATAAACATCTGATTTTAGGTGTGGAATAGAAAATTCTCACAAAATGCAGATGGTAGCTACCTTGAACACTAGCACCACTACTCTTGTCTTAAGCAGGCTAGCATCTGGCAATTTTTGTGCATGAAGTGTAATGAAGTGAGTATATTCCAAGAAGTGAAACGCATTTTATCAAAACTTATACAAGACCCATTCTAGTCAACAGAAAGACATGGATGTTGTAACCCATGGCCCAACTCACACCCAATATTTGCACAGAGGAATGCCAATCAAAATGACTCAGGTTTAAACCAGAATAATGTGGATATTTTAATGCACTCCATTTCCTGCATTGTTAGGCAGTTAGGGAGGACTGCTCAGATGCTCTTGGATCCCAGCCTTGTGTGTGGAACTGTAATCTGAATTTTGTATACCCTAGGATAGCTATTTGATAGCAATTACCTCTTCCTCTCTCTGCTTTACAGACTTCATAAAGAAAACCCTGTGGAATTACAATAAAAAGTACTAAATTAAGTGGAAACTCTTTTTATATGTCCTTACTTTAATTTTTCTTTCTTTCTTTCTAAGTGTTTGCTGTCCTATACAGGCAAAAAGGAAAAAAAGCTTTCACACCAGTGTTTTGCTAGTCATCGCTAGATGGTGAAATGCAAATGCAGAAAACTCGGCTATACTATCAATCACATTTATTTTTAAACATCTCTACACTAACGTATGACCATCATTCTGATTCCTCACTAACATGATTTTACCCTTTTTCTTACCTGGTGGGAAACTTTTAGCATTGATTTCCAGAAAGTGAAATCCTTTGAGGGAAAGTTTTTCTCCTTCTTTAGTACATATTGTATAGAAGAGAATGGAATCTGCTGTCATTACTTTTATGTAAGTGATAACATTTAAATAAAGCACTGTGAAGTATCTATTCATAACAGAGCATACTGTCAGAACTGATGGCATGTTGCCTCTTAATGGTAGCAAGTTTTGTTTGTTTTGTTGTTCTCACATTATGTCTAACTTTTTTATGTTGCTTTTATAGAATGTGGCTTTCATTGCATCAGAAGCTGAAGTGTTATCTTTTTTCCTGATGGCAATGTTTTATTTCTGAACAGTAACAAAGAAGTCATTGCATAACTCCCTGAACATCCTAAATCAGATGATTTGTTTAGAATTGCAGATTATGATCAAAAGGACTACTTGAGCCGTATTTCTGTCATCAGAATTACATACAGAATAGTCATCACAAACATAATCTATCTTGAAAAGAGCATGATGCTGAGTAATGAAGAACTCTGATGTCAAAATTTTTATTTTTAAATAAATATGGCACTGTAACACAGAAGAATGAAAGCTCAACTGAGAAGACACTGAAGTTCCTGCTCATGATTTTCACATGCTTTTCTCAAGATGGTGTATCTCTTGCCCCACATCTGCTGAACAAAACTGCAAACTACAGCAGTTGAGACAGCATATTTCATATGTGTTTTCAGACACTTCTAGCTCTTGGGTAAATTCAGATGCATAAAAAATATAAAGATGTCTGATGAATTCTGAAAGATTGCAGCTCTCCAAACACAAATTGTTGTTGATACTGCAGGCATCAAGCAAGAGCAGGGCCTGCATGTCTGACAGTAATCCAATCCACTTACTTTCAATAACTGATTGAAGCCTGTGTTTTGGAGCTTTTTCTCAGTTGACCACTAACTTGTTTGCAATTATTCAGCACATGGATTGGTTAAATACTGAGAATTCATGACTTCTAATGTGATTAAACACCTGCACTGCTTTTATGTATAGTTATTAATACAGGCAGCTAATTATTTTGTATGACCTTTTACCATTAATATATCCTTTGACTGTTCTGGAGATCAAAAGCACCTTCAGAAAGAGAGATCAAAAAATTTATCTGCAACTAGTAGAGTCAGCTTCCTTCATGATCTACAGACTGTTTATTTCAAAGCTTGATTTAACTGTTGGTTCACTTGAGATTACATACAGTGCTAATCATCCCATGTTTTGATACCAGAATGAGAACTGCGTTTATTTATTGGCTTTAACATCAATTTGCACATGTGCACAAATGCATGTGCAGACACACACATTGCTCATTTATGAAAAAGTACTATTAGATTATGCAATCACTGTGAATATTTAGTGCAGAGAGTTAATACAAGTTCTATAAATAATTTTTGTAAAGTGCTCTTCAATAGAACAGGATCACACATCTCAGTGAACCTGTGGCTGATAGTTCCCATATTTGCTGCTTTCAGATAAATCGGCTTTTTTCCGTTTTGAAAATATTGGGATCTTCAATTTATTTTAAAGGCAAACCTAAAAACTGTAAAAACTGTAAAAATGTATACATTGGTTGGTATTCTGAAAGTTGGATGCCATGATTTCATAACTTCAAGACACGTTCGTTTTAACTACTACTAGCCCCATATAAAATAAGGTATGTATAGGGGAGGGTGTTAATCTAAAATTTATCTAGCTCTTAGATGTTTAAGTACAGGATAATCATGCAAAAAAACATCCCTCCAGCTGTGTAACGGTAGAAGTTCTCAGGATTGTTACGTGCCTCTCAGTAAGCCTACAACTGCAAATAGGACTGGTACTCTAACAAATAGCAGAGACACCTTCTTTTTTAGAACACTAACAATGTTGCCTTTGCCCAGCTCTGCTTTTGAGATTCAGCTCTCTGTATATAAAGCCCAGATTTGTAGCAAAAGCATTGACGTCCCTGCCTCTTTTATTTCAGTCACAGTTGAAGACGTGGATGTTCCTATCTATGTAATAGCTGTCCACTTTGCAAAGCATCTGCACCACTTACGTGCGCAAAAGATGCACAAATAGTGATAAATTGTAGCTGCTGATTATGTCATCATAATAAAAGGCTAGAGAATGTTTTATATTTTTTTTCTCCTGGGTTTCACTGAGAAAGTAGTGCTGCCAGAATGAAAATAGTCTCTAAATTATTAAGCGTAATTTATTTTTGTCATTTGAAGTCTAAAATGAAAGTTCTAATGTGTTAAGAGTTTTCTGTACTTTGGATGGTAAATTTATTTTTCCAATTAAAAACAAATAAGTACATTACTTCAGAAGTCTACCACTGTATATATTGATAAAAAGTTAGCTTTTTTAATAAAGTTATTAAAAATAAAGTTAGATTTCCCAAGAACAAAAAAAAAGGGGATGAGAATTTTAAAAGTACATCGTTTGTCACATCTGAATACTTCTGTCTTTAGAAAGATCAATCCCCCCCACTTAAGAACTTGATGTATTGTGACAAGCCTAACTGCACCTAATGCATCTGACTTCATTACTTATTTCTTATCTTTCCTCCTATCCTCCATCCTCACCGTTTTCAACTGAAAAGACTCCATCTCTGGCCAACAAGTCTTAACACAGCCTTTTCAGCACAGTTCAGGTAAAGAATGTAATTTCACATACACAATTTCTTAAGTTAACTGGTGAGCTTTGATCAGTGTTTCATCTAAGAGGCAGCTTCTATTTCCAATGTACTGTTAAAGAAATACTGTTTGAAATTTTATTATCTTATTTGCTCTTAAAATATCCAGATTTAGAAAGTGTCAAGGCCAGGCTGGACAGGGCTTTGTGCAGCCCTGTCTAGTGGAAGGTGTCCCTGCCTGTAGCAGGGGGGTTGGAACTGGATGATCTTTAAGGTCCCTGCTAACCCAAACCATTCTGTGATTCCATGATGTTAATCAACAAAACATTTCAAGAGACCTTCATGCAATTTATAGCAGTAAAGATGCCACTACTGCTTTAAGTAAAAGCATGAGGGGCCCTTTCAGGTGACTGAGGTGAGCTCAGGCACCTCGACCATTAGCAGCCTGACGGTGAAAAACAAGCGTGGGGCCGGAGGCTGCACCTGCTCCCCTCCACAGAGCCAGGCTTGCCCAACCCCTGCCAGCAGCTACGCTCCCCACCCTCCCCGGGGGAAGCCCAAGGGGTCTTCAGAGGTCTCCTACAGGGCTCCCCTGTTTCCCTTTCCCTCACCTTCTCGATTAGAGGCAGTTTTTGCCTTTGCATCAAGGTGGCCTTTGTCCCTCATCTCGTCCGTGCTTTGCGAGCAGGAAGTTAGGCCCACATCATGAGATGAACACAAGTAGACAGAGGACTGCCCGTACTCAACGGCTGCCACCGAAGTACCCCAGGACCGGGCCTAGGCGAGGGGCTGACGGGGCCCAGCAGGGGCAGTGAACTCGTGTCCCGCCCCCCGGAGCGGCCCCTTAACTCTGGGCGCCCGGAAAGGCCATTCCCAGCCTCAGCTTGCTCATCTCCATGGAGCCGGGCAGCGGCCCCGGCGGCGTGGCTGCCGCTGCAGCAGGTGGGTTGTGGCTCGGAGCCGTCGGGGCTTTCCGGGTGGCAGCGGCCTCCCTGCGGCTGGGCGAGGGCTCCGGGCGGGAGGCAGACCTCTGGGGAGGTGCCCCCCAGCCTGCCCGCTGCTCGGTGTCGTGGGCTGCTCGGCTCTTGCGGCGTCTGGAGACATCGTCGCGTAAACCCCGCGTCTTTTGGTGGAGGTCGGGGGTCTGCCGAGACAGCAGAGGCGGGTCAGGCTGGATGAGGGCGGTGGGGCTGCCTCTGCTTGAGGGCAGCGAGTGGGGAGCCTCGGATGGGCAGGCTTGGGAGTTCAGGGATTGCTTTCCTGAATGTTGTTTATTTGGTTTGATTGGAAGGAAGTGCCAGCCTTCACATGAAAGCTGCACCACTTCTTTGTTATTAATGAAGAAGCCATGTATTTCTTCTGTCTGCATGTACTCAGATTCTTAATTTTCTGATATCTGACAATTCTAATCTTTTTTTTCCCACTCGTTTCAGCCGAGTCACAAGTAAGAACACTGTATTGTCACAAAGTTATATAGGGTCGATGTTCGAATTTGATTAACATTGTTAGTGCTCTGCTTGTTAGAATAAGGTTGCATTAATTATGCAAGGACAACGGAAAAGAGTTATAAAAGAGTTACTGGAAAAGAGTTATCAGTGTTTTTACCTGAAACTGATTACTAGTAATTGGGCGGAATTAAAGTGTAAAAAAATTACTTGTCTATGGACTTGGCTGCAAATGCTTGGCAAGTCACTTATTTGCCTCACTCTTTTCAGCTTTCAGTGCTTCATAAACTAATATTCAGACACTAAGTATTTAAATGTGGTTATAGTTATGTTAGTATTTATAGTGTATGTAAGACTTCATTCTTCATTGCATACTGCATGCTTTTTGAAGTACTAGATTTTTACTGTTCCAGCTGTTCTCTCCTCCTTGTCGTCTTGCAAAGATTTGCTTTCTTTTGAACAATTTTATCTTTCATTCTGCCCATATACAATTTGTGTAGGAAAGCCAAGAACAAGTCTTTTAAAACGCAGCAGATGCTGTTTAGTAACTTAACCTGAAGGAAACTTGTTCACTGAAAGATACCAATCTTGCAGATTAGAAAAACTGTGGAAATTAACCAGTTCAGGTAAAGGCTGGAAGTGTGCAATTGAAAAGGAAATTATGGTGATATTTTAATCAATATACTTCAATGTGGGAAGAGGAAAGGTGAGAAATAATCCCCGTATAATACTCCAAACTTCATGATTGCCTTTTTTTTTAATTAATTCTGCTTTGAAATTCTTCATTTGAGGGCTTATACAGTCTTTGGGATATGTAGAACTTCAGAGATAACAGCTGCTTTCTTGTTGCAATTTGAGTATGTTCCACAGTCGAAAATGCCAACTGTAAATATACATTTTCTGTAATTATTATTAGCACATATGAAACTTAGACTATGAAATTCAGGCAGTCATTTACAATCTCATAAAGCTGTAATGAAAAGTATATCCTCAATTTGCAAACTAAATTTATATCCATTTATATCTGTGATATCCAGACGCTTAAGTGATCACAGTTTTGGTACAGAAAGAAACCTGTGCTGGCATAAGAACGGATAAATTGACACCACTGAGTTGCACTTTGATTTCTGAACTGTAGGCTTTATTCCTTTTTCTGCATGTCTTCAAGAAGTAAGAATAGTAAAGGGAAACATGGTACTCTGTGCTAGATTTGTTAGATATCATTGGAAGTGATACAGCAAAAAAGGCCTGTTTGAAGAGAAGAAAGAGTGCAAAAGGAAGAACTTGCAGCTTGTACAGAGAACGTACACATAATTTAAAACAAGAAATCTCAGGCCTACATTAGTGTTTTTCACTTGGCCTATTCTAATGCTAGTAGAGCAGAGGTGAATCCTTTAGGACTTCTGTGGTGCATAAGCTGTCCTTGCTGTCAGTACTTTGTAATGCTTTTTCAAGAAAATTGCCAGAGTTGAACTTCTGAGTGATTTGGGATTATTGTATGTTAAATCTGATATGGTATTTCTCCTCTAGATGGGCCAGCACAACAACATGTTAGAAAAAAGTTAAAAAAAACCTGTCAGATGATTCTGTTCAGAAACCAAAGTGCCAGACTAGTCCAAACCTGGAGATAGTCTAAGCATATAGTTATGGGAGTATCAATATACTTGTAGTATCTTAAGTTGGGAGTTTACGCAGTTTCACGTGGGAGGAAATAGTTTCCTCGTGTGATCTCACTGAAGAGTGATGCACAGTAACTTTATGAGGGGCCAAACTGATTGGTTTATTGTCTTTTAATTCTGGGCATACTTGATGCTTCCTGTGTGTTTTACTTTGCATTTGTATGCTATTTTGTTTGTGCACAGACAGTGTTTAAATATTCACAAGGTTATTCTCACAAGATTTTTCCATGATTTTGGGGGTTTTCTTCTAGAAAGCCCCCCCCCCCCCCCTTATTTCTACCACCACCTCCCCCACCCCCAAGATATTAAAAACAGCTAGGATTACAAATTTCTTTTAAAAGGTGCTGATTTTAAGCTTGCAAAATTTCTCTTATTAGTTAGTCACTTAAATAGTTTTTTTGACTGTCTCAGCTTTAGGTGCCTGAGAGGCACCAACTTGTCTCACTGAAGTTAGCTGTCCACAATACATGTATGTGGAGCTGAGCTAGTTAACTATCTGTATAATCCTGGGAGGGAAACGAGTGTGTTCACTGGCCATGACTTAACTTCATCACAAAGTAGATGCACAAATCACTTGGCATATTTTCAACATTTAAAATACCTGTTTCTGTCCATTGATCATAAAGGAAGTCTAGACAGCAAGCTCAGCTATAGCCTTCTAAACTGAGGATTTATGTTGTTAAGAGGAGAAAAATCATACCTCTAAAAAGTTACTGAAATACTGAGTGATTATGCTTGCGTATGTCTTTAAGTGCTATGAAATGCTTATAATTGAGGATCTTTAAAGTCTTAAATTTTTTTTTATGTTATTTGGTTTTGGAGAATTTATACGAGTTGATTTTTAGAAGCAAAAGTTATTTAAAGGTTAAATGGTTAGAAGAAATGAATTCTGTTACATTTTAATCAACTTTCCTTGTGCTTTTGACATAGTGTATTTTAAATATTTATTGTTTTCAGTATCACTTTAACATCTTGACTCCATAAAAAATATAAATGCTGGCTTAGTACCACAGGCTCATTGCTTGTGGAACTAAAAGCAACTGAAAGCAATAGGCGTGTGGTACTAAAAGCAAGTTTTTCCCTCAGTTAGTATGTCCACATCAGATATCTTTGTGTATTGTGAGTGTAGGTTGTTTAAAATTGACACTGTGGAGTAGCCTTGGTTTAATATATGTTTTTACAATAAAAACTGCTTAATTGGAACACAAGGCATACTTTAGTTCATCTTGATTATGCAGCTGTCCCATTATCATTATTTATTGTCTATACGAAAGACAGTATTATGTTAGGCATGCCAATTAAATCAAGTTTATTTTATTGTTTCTTAATGTTATGGCCTTATGGGTCTGCAGCTCAGCCCAGTTCCGCTAGAGCACTCACAGCATTTTGTGCTCTATTATAATGAGTCAATATCTTGGTTGCTATTGTATAATGCAGAATGAGGTTACAAAGATGTGGGTAATTTTTTCACCTTTTTCTGCAGCGTGTAATTGATAGACTAGTTCAAGTAAAAATGGTGGCAAAGAATCAGTTTTTCCTATTATGTTTGTGCCTTTAAAGACACACCATATATTTAAATGTAGGAAAACAATTTTTTGGCTGTTACATACTATTTTTTAGGGTTGATAAAGATTTTTTAGCCATGTAGTAGTGATGAATGACAGTTGCCTCTGTTCTGACAATAGATATCCTATCTGTTTCAAATGTGAAGAAACTGAGTTGTTCAATGGCTTGGAAGTTAAATGAGTTACAATATACTTTGTGCCTTACTGTGCTAAATTTTAAAGTATTCTATATGATCTGAATAAAAAGTAAATGTCCCATTGTAAGCAATTAGGTTTTGTCTATGAGATTTGCAGAAGTTTCTTCCATTGTTAACCATAAATTTCATGGGCAAACTTAGAGACCATGCCTAAGGTGTGCGATTCTGTGGCATAAATGAATATTACTCAAATGTTGAATTACTTCAAACAAGATTGGTTTTATTCTGAGGTGCCTTAAATTGCAATATAACTTAGCCCAGTTTCCCCAGTTGCTCTGTGGCTTCCCTGTTTCCAAGGTCAGACGGAAAACTGTAGCGCTCGGAAAGGTAAATTACCTAAAATTACCCACCTCCCTTACCCATAAAAGCCCCTGAAAGACTTCTTAAACACTCTAGAGCTGAGGATTCACATGTGCAAAGTGAGTTGCTCATTCCTTGTTGGGTGGGTGCAGTACATGCTGCTCTTTCTCTGGGTAGAAGAACCAAGAGCTGGCTGGGAAAGACCAATGAGCATGGGCCCAGGAGCTGGGGAAGGCTTATCCCAAGCTCACTGGCTTTTTCCTCAGGGAGCAGACCATTTTGATCTGACTGCGGACTTAACTGTACCCCTTTCTAGATTACACCTGTCTGGGAAGCTGATTTGTCTAGTTCAGGAGTGCTAATGCAAAGAACAATGAAGCAATCATGCCTGCACTTCTTTTAAAGACAGAAAATTATTGTTAACCCTGTGAACCTGTTGTTGACAGTGGTGGATTTCTGGCATGAGGCAAAAAAAACCAAACAGCATCCAGGGTACTTTTTTTTTTCCCTCTTGAGACTTAATTTGGTAGCAGTGAAAGCAACTGCTGTGAATTCAGGGGCTGGGCTGTTCAGCTGTGTGTAGTTAACAGTGAAAAAAGAAACGAGGTAAGAGAGGAGAGGATCTTCTGACAGCTGTGAGAGATTTCTAGGAGAGGAAGGCATGTTTTTGTACCAGTATAGGCTCAGAAATTGTATTTGTTTCTTGAAGATGTCACATGTTTGACCTCAGCTTCCAGACTTTGACAGCATGTTATCCATATGAAAGTGGGGTCTACTAGCAAAGTACATAAACAACCCTTTTGTGGAGTTGCAAGGTTTTTTGAAATAGGATATTTTTATCACTTGTTAAAATTTCTTTAATGAATGGTTTAAGTTTAGATGCAAGTTTCATGGCTTTAATTGATGTTTTCAATTTTTTAATAACAATGAATCTTTTAAGGCTTTAAACAGTAATGTGTAACCTTTGACACTTGGAATGGAGCTGATTATGAAGCTTCCGACTGAGATGAAAACTGAAAAGGTGGTCATCTGAAACTAGTGTTTTGTTTTTTGCTGATTTTTTTTTTTTTTTTTTTTTCTAATTAGTGGGAAGTGTTTCTTCTTCACATGTTGCAGAGAGAGTCAAAACCAAGGTGAGACTTGCCAGAAAGGTATCTTGCTGTAGTTAATGGTGTAATATGAGCTGCTTCATTGAATGCAGTTGCAGAATGCTGGGACTAGCAGGTTGAGAGTAGGGTGGTGCTTATGAATCAGATTTATCCTGGTTCCCTGTGTTATCCTGTTTACTGTTTATATCTGTGGTCCTGAAAGGATCTTACATCACCTCTTAGTTTCCCTTGGTTATGTAACACAGAGCTGTACAGGACAGTTCCCGACTTCATGTAATTATTTCTGCAGCTGACTAACTAGCTACTCAGCAGCCTTCCATGGCTAGGACCTCAGCAGGGCAATGGGTCCTCAGTGTGCTCTCCCTGCATGAGAGTTAGAAGGCTGGAGAGAGAGGGAGGTGTCTCTTGCGTAGGAAATCTGGAGACCCAGTCCTGTTTGACAGCAGTGTTAGTTGTGCCTATCCTCTGAGTGCGCTCACAGTATCAGCTTGTGGGTTGAGAGGTTTGCATAGGAAACTTGTCACAGGGCAGTATCTGTTGTTAGGCTCCTAGCAGAGTTTTCAAGGGGTTACTGGTTCCCTCCCTAGCACTGAGTAAAGGGTCAAGTGGAGCTTTGTTAGTAAGTAGTTATTATCCCTGAGTAACTTGGATACCAGATGTATCTTGGTGGATAATTCTTGATCCTGTCAGTTCCTGTTGGACATATTTTGGCATTAGGGGCTAGGCTTAGACTGGTGACTTCTTTCTGCTCTTGGCCTAGTTCTATTCCCAGATTTCTGGTTTGGTTGTAAATCTTCTTTTCTGTCTAACTACTGGTGTCATTTCTGTGCTGATATGAGCAAAAATGTTGTTGAGAAAACTCTGTAGCTGCCAGTATGCTTTTAGTGGAGTGCATTTGCATTTGGTGGTCTTTGGTGCAGCACTTCCTGAAAGGAACAGAGGCTGTGCAATTTTTGCTAATGCACAGTTGGCCAGCATCCCTATACTTCTAGCAGCATCATCCAGTGTTATTTTCTAAAAGATTTTTCCAGTGGTTTTTTAGAGAGCACTTGTCCCTTTAGGAAAGTGTGAAAAACTTCAATCAATTCTTAAAACTCCTGCTTTTCATTCCACAAACTTCTCTTTTCAGAAGAGCCGTATATTTTCTAGAAAATCTTTACAAAATCCACTGTTTGTGGAAATAGGTATGGCACTATTTTTAATAATTACCTGTTTTTAAACTAGAGATTTTGAGTTTACAACAGAATTCTCCAAAAACTTCTTTGATTGTATCTTGTTCTAAGAAGAACCAACTTTGTGATGTGCTACTTTTTCTTTTTCTTTTTTAAAGGCATGTTTACAAATAATTATTCCAGAAAATGAGTGATTCTTCTTTTTTTTTTTTTTTTTCCAGAGTGAAGGTACCTCAGTAAATTCGTTTGGTGTAAGGCACTTCTACTATAGAAATGGGTCTGTATAAAATGCTAAAAGGAAAAGGCCTCCATCAAAAAAGATATCTTATTACTTAACTGTATGTCCTAACTATTAAGGTGGAATGCTATTTAAGGTTACAGTGATTGTGATTTGTGGATTTAGATTTGTGGGCTGAGATTTGTAAAGTGCATAGTGGTGAAGTATCAGTGATCAAACAGCTGTGACTTTTCTTTGTGGTACTATGTCATGTGAGTAGAAACAAACAGAGCATGATAGAAAAGAAGGTGTTGATGGTAACTCTAATCATAAAAGGCATCTGACCATTCTTGAAATGCTGAAACTAAATACCATCCCCTGACCCACACTGGAACGTTGGTCCTTCTGCAGCTTCCCCTAATGTAATTTAAAGGAAGATGCTACTACTGACAGAGCATGTTACAAAGCACAAAGCAACTCTTATTTGTCCTTTTTCAAAACTAAGGTGAATCAGAAAGCTTTTGCAAAGTAGTCTCTGGAGGCATCAAAATGATAAACCAGCAGTGAAATCCATTTGTAAGGCATCTTTCTGCCTGCCTTAATTTGTGGCTCTGCTCTGTAAGGAGCTTCGTAAGAATGGAGCTCAACAGACACTGAGTAATACCTGGGTGAAATTTCTATTAAGAAGATAATCTGGGGAGCGCCTTTCAGGTTCAAAGCCAAAGATTTTGGATGCATTACTGTTACTTACTTATTCTTCTTTCAGTGTGATTCTATGTATTTTGCTTTATTCACAGTTTTGAAGGCAGTTCTATTACTTTCATGGTTCTGTATTTGTCAAACGTTTCCTTTGATGTATAAGGCAAACAAGAGTCTTATATCAGTTTGTTGTCCCACAGAGGTGCTGATCCTTTGAGGCTGAGAATTAACTTCAGCTTTTCACTGGTATTCTCAGATATGAGTGGAAAGGTTGTGTGAAAGAGATTTTTTACAAGTAAGAAATGTTGCAAAACATACCGTTTATTTCATGCATAACTGCTTTAAACAGTAGGTATAGATAGTAGAGTTCAGTTTCTAAAGGCTTACTCTCCCATTAGCTTTCAGAGTACACTGGTGGAATAGACTAGGTGTTTTTTGCCCTGACACAGTTTCAATTGGAGAACAGATTAAAACATAGCTATAGGTAGATAAATCCCAACGAATATTTGCAGTCTTATTCCTTGTGCTCTGTATGTTTCAAAGTGTAACTGACTGGCGTGTCTAAATGGACAGTATGCAAGGAATGCACAGGAATTGTTTGTGTGTTTTAGAAGCATTTGAAAGGTGAAAGAAATATTCAAAAGGTAGCTCTGAGTCCTACAGTGACCTTTACCCCATCCTGACTGTTTGCAACATAGCTGATGAAACCATCTTCATCACCTACTTTACTAGCCACTTGCATTACTTTGAAGATGTCTGCATAGACCTCTCTGCAGCTTTGAGGCTTAATGTTAGAACTGCAAGTGTGCAATACCAGGTGTCCAAAATCAGAAACTAACAACAACCTCAGAAGTGTTATCTTTTGAGTATGGGGACTTTTTGATATACTTTCAAGAAATTGTATGTATTGTGCTTAAGCTAAGCATAAAGAAGTGCAAATGCATTCTTTTTCTGGGGGAAAGGGTCAGGGTTTTTTTTTAGGTTCGTGTCTTTAGTGCTTTCATCTTTGTTTTAGTGGAGGTAACATTTGCATTTAATATTTCACTAGGATAAACCTATTTGAAGTGCTTTCTATTTCCACAATTATTCTCAGACACTGCCTGAATTTTATTTTTACAGCTAGAGTGCAGTTCATGTATGTTTTATTCTCACGTTGTGCACAGATGCTTACATTTCTTCTCTTTTCCATGATGATTTAGAAATGCACTAGCAATAAGATAATTGGTCTCACTGTTGTACAGTTTTCAAAGCCAAAAAAATACCTTGCATAATTTCCTTTTAGCACAGCCTCATAGTGAAGTTACCTTTTTATTTTCTGTTTTTCTAATGTGATAGAAATCAAAGGCAGAAGAGAAAACGAAGTTTGGTATTTGAAAATATCAAAACTAGCATTGGCTTTTGCAATTATCCACTCAAAACCACCAGGGAAGAGTTGCAAAGAATACACTGAGCATCTTGCCAAAACTGTGTCTAAACGAGATTTTGGATGGAAATCGAAAGTTGAAGTGCTGGAAGCTGAAGTTCTTAGATTACGTCAGGAGCTTCTTTTGAACAAGATCTGTCCCAGGTTCTGCTTGGAAAATGGTAAGTTTCTGAAATAGTTTCTGACAAGTTTATGCATTGAGATTTTTAGTAGGTTCCCTGATAGAAAAGTTGATGCAGCTTTACTGCAATGCTTTCATACTGAAACAGTAGCTGCTTTATTGCCTTGTGAAAAGATTTCTGAATTCTAACTTTGAGAGGGGGAATGTATTAGACTTTGGCAAGAAGCTCTAATGTTTTGTTTTGGGGTTTTGTTTGTTTGGTGGTTTGGTTTTGTTTTGGGGTTTTTGTTTGTTTGTTTCTTAGTAATAGACCTTTCTCTCTAGAGAAGTGATTCAGTGATTGTTCATACTTAGTTACTGTTTGTGTTATTGTTTCTGTGTGTTCTCTGCAACCCTGTTACAGACATGGTCTTTATTTAAGAATAAAAGTAACTTTCAAGCTGCTGTTTGCATCAGGTGTCTTAATGTTGTGAAGAACTGACTGCATTTGATGCATATGATTAGGAGAGATTTTTTTGTGGATTGAGCAGAACACTGGAAACTAAATCAATTCAGCTGAAATTTCAGTGTTCCAAGGCTAACTTCTTAAAGATTCTTTACCCTAAGCTGCTGAACTGAATAATACTATCTCATTTCGCAAAGTAAGCTCTCCTGGTTGCAAGACAGGTGGAGAAAAGCAGCTATCCCTAGTGGATAATACCTTTGAAAGACCAAAAAATGCTAATTTTCATTGCCCTAGTCACAGTGAAGTTGTTCATAGACCTAAAGTATGGTAAATCTTATGTAATATTCGATGTCTACAGCTGCACAAATTTTTTGCGCTTTCTTCATTATCTGTACAGGGAAGTAGCATGCTTACTCTACACTTTGTTGTTCATTTGACCCATTGTGATATTCACTAATATGGGTATGGTGAATTGTCCACAAAAGACATTCCTTTCCAGTATATCTCTGCTACCAACAGGCTGGCTGGCTTTGAAAAAGTCCCATGCTTCACAAATCAGTTCAGGAAGTGCTCTTTGTAGATATGTCTTTTTATTTTTTTATGGTCTCAACAGCCTGTTCAAACATACCTTGGGTAGCTGACCAAGTCTCATTTTTCAGTCAAGACGAACTTTTGTTTCAGTCTCTGTTTACCTAATGGAATCACAAATAGTAAAGGTGCATATGTGGTATTTATAATCCTTCTATATTGCTTCAGTTTCCCCTAGGTACAAAACCAATGCTCCACTAATTTGAAGGATTGGCGTATAGCTGCTTTTCACTTCAAATGTTTGTTTATATTTATGATTACTGTGTTGATAAATCTGTTAGACAGAAAACCTTTTGACATTTGAAATACTTATGGGAGTTCACATCAGCCCCACCTGCTGTCCAAGAGGAGTAGGGCACAGTCTTTCCCTTCAGTTTCTCTTGAACAGTTGGGTGTAAGAGAATAGTAAGAATGTGTGGAAAATCAGAACTGTATCATAATTTCTGTCTCTTCATACAGATTTCTCTTAATATTGAAAGGGCACTTTTGAGTTCTTGGAGTCTAGTTTTGAGACTGCCATTTTCTGTGTTTTCTTCTCTGTCTTCCTTTTGACTGTTTGTTTTGGTTTTGTTTTGTTTTTTTTTCTTCCCCCTCCCCCCACTTCCCCTCCCTCTTTAAACCTTGGTATGACATATGAACCCTTCTGATAACGGATTTGAGCCACATGTTATTTTGGAAAGAATATGTTCTTCATCAGACAGATATAAGTGCTGAATGAGCATTCATGTTTACAGTTACACTGGAGACAAATGCTCAGTCTCTTGCTTTGGAGTAAAGAGTGTTTGTTACTGATAACTGATAGTATTATCTATTAGTGAGGTCTGTGCACTCTGGTGGTGATAAAGTTCATGATGTATATTAATAGCAGAACATCTGTGGTTGACATTTAAAGGTTGTTGCGAAGCCTGCCTGTAACGGGCCATTTCACCACTGGCATCATCTGCTCTGGTGGGAAAAAAAATCCTCTCTTGTGTGTTGTGCCAGTTTTGAGAGTTTTTGAGCCCATGGAGAATAGAAGCTAAAGGCTAGCCAGTGCTGAGATGAGGAGCTTGAACCTAAGTTGAGAGGAGAGGTGGTCTAAGTGGTGTTCTGTCCTGTTCATGTGAAGGCTACTACAAATTCATCAAGCCATTGTTCTAATTTGTTGTTGATGGTATAGTGCCCAAGTTTACCTGATAACACACTGGAGAAGTTGTCTTTAAGGCAGAGGATAGCTGTGCTTGTTCTTGTGGTCAGGTAATCCACAGATACCTTGGATCCTTTTCTTCCTGCACTCATTTCTCCAGCCTCACTTTTGGAGTTGATGTTCTGCTAACAGCAATGCAACTTTTAAAAGAATTCAAACCCTCATATTTTCTTTGGCTGTTTTGTATTCTCTAACAACTCCATAGATGCAAAAATACTAGAGTTTCACAAAATCCACCACTGGAAAATCTTACACAGTAAGGATCAGATACTGCATTTGCATCTGCTGCTGCCTGTTGTGAGCTGGAGGATTTGAGTCCTTCAGTCAAGGTTCACTTTGCAGCTGTATCTTCCTTTTCTGCATTCTGACTTTCCCACCTGCTGTTTGTAATAATAATAGTAGATCTTTCAGAGGCTTCTGGAATGATTAGACTGCCCATGGAGTTTCATTGCCCTGATGTGAGAAATTTGTGAGCTCTTTGAAGCTGTGATGCCTGTTTTCCTTCTCCATAGCTGCACACAGTATGGATGCACAAGCACATCAAGTAGAAAGAACAAAGTATCCCATTTTTAGAGTTATGTTGTCTGAATTATTTTTGACCCATGTGAGTACTTCTTTGTCCTAAAAGACCCTAGAAAAGTTTGGGGTTCCTCACTGAGGGGGAGAAACATGCTTTGCTACATGATTAGGTAGCATGAGTTGCTGTAGTTTAATGTGTTGTTTATAAAATCACCGTTGGTGAATATATACCGTGGTATATATTCACTCACTGTGCTGTGTCTGGAAGTTCCTTATTTGACTAAGTCAGCAGCTGTCTTTCTGAATATGAGGACACTAGTACTCATTTTACATGATGGTGCTTTTGGTTGCATGTCAGCTATCCAAGAAGGAGGAGAAGCAAATCTTTTTGTAATTGTCATTTCATTATTCTTCACCTTGCCAGCATTGTCTTGGAAACTGTCTCCCTAAGAAGAAAAAAAAGTCACATTAAGCAAAGTTTCTTACCTTATTTTGGTTCAGATTGAAATTTCACAGAAAGGAGGAGAGAAGCTTGTTGGTGTTTTTCCAAAAGGAAGAATATAAAATATTTTGAGCATTCTGTTGTCACTTTGCTTTGGAGCTACATGAAAAGGCAAAGCATTGATGAATTGATGGATTTATGGATTGAAGCACCTGTCCGCTAAGACAAATTCCTTAGCTGCTATCAGCTCATCAAATCAACAGTCATATTGTTTCTTGACAGCTTCTGTTCAAGAGATCTGAAAAGCCTGCAGCTGTTACTCCATCCTGAGAAGGCAGAAATGCAGTACTCTACCCTTTTTTGCCAAGCATGTATTTTAGCAATGACAGTTCAGAGGATATATGTTTATTGCTGTGGTTGCTTTTAGGCTGATACTCATGAGGGTTTCCAAATCAGTTATCCAGGGTATATGTTTAGCAAAACTTGTATTGAGTATGTATTATCTCTTCTTCAGCTTCACCTTCAGTCTTGGTTCATGTTACTTCCTTCTTATGCTGTGGGTAGGAATTTACTGAACTGTTTGCTCCTCTAATTAAAAAGGAAAAAAAAAATCATTCAGATTCTTTCCTTCCCCCCCGCCTCCTTTTTTGAATTATTCTTCCTTATACAGATCAGTTAGAGTAGAACTTAATCTGTCATGCCCGAAGTCCCCTCCTGTGTTCTTAACCTTCACAGTAGCATATGGTTGCCAGCCCACCCTACCATAGTGTGCCTGTGTTTAGGGAAATGCTGAACTCTGAGTCAGAATGTGATTAACATGAATGTCTGATTTTCAGCTGTGTCTTGAGGCTGTGTTTGATTTCTCAGGATACTGTCCCTGAACTTCTGCTTCCTGTGTCAAGACATATGGAGCAACTTGTATCTCTTCAGGAAATAAGAGCCAGAGACAAAAGTATTTTTGTATCTTCTGCTTCACTCCTTAACTTGGTGTGTTTCTCAAGGCAATTAGTTGTACATGGGGAAAAAGGGAACGACTTCCTTTGTAGATAAGTATAAATGAAGACACTTCAGTCTTCTTCTTGCTGAAGCTCAGACTTGCTGCAAAAGCAGAAGCATATAGAATTGGAATCAGCTAGCTCATCAGCTGAAGTAAAACTGATTATGGACGATACACAGCTCCAGTTTACCAGCAGCCTTGTTTTGGGCCACAAAATTCACCTGCTGCTTCCTTTTGTACTTCCCTGTAAGTCATAGCTTGTGTGTTCCTTGCCCAGTAGGAACAGGCATAAACTCTGGGTACTAACCTTAAAGAGCCAGCATTTCCTCAGTAGGCAAAGAAGACACCAGGTAAGTCCTGCTTTGAGAGCAGGAAGAGTGATAGCCAGTTAAATGTTTTTCAGAATAATTTGGTTTCAAGCCTCTGAAAGGACAGAACTCTCCACTATGACTTAAATAACCTACCTTGTGATGTTTCCTCTGCCTGCTTACATTAAAAGGAGCAGTGAGAGAATCTAATTGATAATAGATTTTTATTTTTTTAAGCTCGTTTTCAAAGAGATACCCATGAGATGAATTCATAAAGATCAAACCAAAATGTATGCAATTCTTTAGTGCATATGTTCTCTGTAGGCTTGTAAAGGAATCTTCCTCAATAGTGGGGGAACCAGAAGTCCAAATCAGACTAATAATAATAAAAACAGTCTATTCTAGGAGAAATTACTTCTCTCACCAGAAAGAAGATGAAATGGTGTGAAATGTTTAAAACTGCCCTGAATAGCACTTAGCAAAGATTTTATTTTCTATGACATGGTAGTAAGGTAGAGGAATATAGGCTAGAATTTTCATCTCATGCTTAGGAAT